TGCGAATCACCCCAGCGAGGAGTGTCTTTGTGGTGAGTGTTGCATAGCTACAAACAGAACCAGGGAAGAAGTTTAAGGGACAATCTCAACCAAAGGTTCGGATATTTGCCCTTTTGAGTTGTTCTGGAAATTTGGGCATGGGTAGACCCCCTTTAGTCAGTGAGTAGCAGGGTTTCATTGTTATTCAGTTGCTCATGGGCCTTCGCGGTGCCAGGCAATACCCCTGGACCTTCTATTGGCATATCCCACTTGCGAAGCACTGTGCTCAAGATTCGTTGATTTTGTTGTGGAACCCTTTCGGCTTACAGCTTGTGATTGAATGACAAATGTCAAACGCCTATTGAAAAGCACAAATACACTGAGCCTATAGAAGCCCTTTCAAAGGGCTTAACTCCAGGGGCTTGACGTCCGGCGGCCTTTGGGCCGCGCAGTTCTTTGAAGCCACCTTCCAGTGGCGGTTGCAAGGGTGGTTTTGAAGGGGAATCAAAAGGAAACTCACTTTGGGTGTCCCTTATAGGACACACCCATATTAGGTGTTTCTCCAAGGAGAGGACTTAACGGGTGCCTTGTGGCTTCCCTCAACCATTCGAAAAAGAATTTGCGGTACATTCGAGAACCATGATTTTTCCATAAGGAACCACCTCGAAAGTTGCGGGGACAGGTCCAAAGTAATTCAAACTCATGTCCAAATGAATCCACTGTCGCGCTGTGAGTCAAGGCTTGGCAAATCTGCCGCCGGTTCCTCAGAATTCTGAGGGTCAAACGTGGCTGGCTTCTGCGTGGTCGCGACTTGTTTTTCCTTGGCCCCAGGAAGGGTTCTCAGGATTGGCACTTGCCAATCGGATTGGAAACTCAGTGTTCCCTGTGCATTATCAAGCTTGAAGCCATGAATATCAAATGCTCTGCGTCAAATCTATGTACCCTTTATACCCCGGACACATAATATACATTATATATAAATATATACATATGCACACTTGTGTATACATACATACATACATACATACATACATACATACATACATACATACATACATACATACATACATACATACATACATACATACATACATACATACATACATACATGCACGCATACACGCATATACACATGTATCGTGATACCCCTGATTCCCCCATTACATTCGAAGGCGAACTTATGGTATGTCCCAAAAAGCGTTGCTTCAGAGTCCAGATGTCGTGCGCCTTGCGCCTGAGATGGAACCACCGACCCCCAAAGTTTCTTGGGTTCCCTCTTGGCGCTTGAAACATCCGAGGGTCACTGCGGCAACCAAGTTCTCAAGACAGGCAATTCATGTCCAAGCACACGTTGGAAGCCAACCTGATATTTTCCTACTGGCGAAGTGTTGTACGGAGTTTGAAGGAAAGCCAAGCAAACCGATGTTTCGGGCCCCCCCTGTTTTTGGACCCCCCCACAAGAAATGGGGAACCTGCCTTCCGTCGTCCGCCTTTGGCTCAGAGTTGCTTCCTAGCCCGAGTAAAGCACCATGCGAGACACCGCCATGCACATCGTTCTTGCAACGGAGACCTGAACCGTTGTTTGTTGCTTCGCGGTCTGTTTTTTTGCATGTTTCTTGTTTTCGGATCCTAGCCGCGGAGTTTTCCATACAGCTTTTCCAAACTTGAGCCTTGACAACAAGACCTTGTCAAAAAGAAACGAGGTGCATTCAGGGAACCATACCATTTGCATTCCCCCACGGTGGGGCAGTTTTGACTGCATGCCTTGCGATTTGCGCTTGGTTAGGCATTTGCAGCTCATCCCTGGTGTCTGAATCGCAGCATTGCCACCTCAACCCATGAACAAACGAGGTCAGCAAAACACACCAGAATGACAAAAGCCCCACTGATGGCACCATCACCAAGCCCTGAATAGGAGCTAAAAACTATAACACCCACACACACACGCATTTACACACATCATTCTTCAATGGTGACTAAATCACTATATATTGTATGGTCTTCAAGTATCACATAACCCCATTCAAATGATTCAAGCATATTCAGGGGTGTTTGTCAAATTTTGGGCTTGTCACAGACCTCTGCGAAATTCTCTCAGACAACTTTGCCCGGGGCTCAGAGTGTGGCTTCAACATGTGTTTTGCGAGTGTTCCTTTTGATTACCGTTTAGGCTTCGTGTTCCAAAGAAAAGAACAAAAACAAAAGGATACGCATTGGGCCAGGGCGGTTCCTCGTACGTTTGTCCATGGCCAATTCATTCTATTGGAAAGTGATGTGGGCATTGTTTTTTCTCGATATCGACCTTGATCGCATTGCACGCAATCTTAGCTGAGGTTCCTTGCTCGCGGGTGCTTCATAGGAATGCAAAGTATGGCCTTAGCCAACGGTGCCTTTTTTTGTCCATGGGTCCATGGCCATCGAAGATCTGTTAGACTTGTGGAAGGTTAATGACAAGCTCTTGGAGCAAGGGCAATGCATGTTTTTAGGCCATTGTTTCCCAACTTGTTGGGAAACCATGGCTGCTTGGCGGAATACCCACCGTGTCCATACACGAATGTATGGATTGCATATGTGGCTACGCAACCTTCGTTGTCCAAAGTTCGGAGGCATCGGAGGGCGCCGGGGGCAGTGCCACGAGGCAGCATCCCTCAGGCAAATGCCACCCAGGCCTTCCGCGTGGTTCCGTTCGGAGCCGAAATGAGGCAAGGAGGGGAACCTCCTTGAGAAGACAAAATGCGAAGAAAAACACCGGGGGCAAAATAGGAAACTGGGATCCCTTAAAGCTGCTAGCTTTACGGATTGTTTAAACAGATTTAATTTTATGTATTATTAAGACACATATGGAGCATACCAGCTGTTCGCGTTTTTTTCCGTAGTTGGGACATATACTTTGGATGTGCTTATATGCACCCTACATCGGTGAGAGTTCCAGGCCATAGAGGATGATTGACGGGCAGGCTGTGGCTTCTCCCTTCGAGGCCTTGGTGGAAACACGAAGCCGGCCATTGGCACCTCTTAGTTTTTGGTTTTGGAGGCCGGTTATAGCATGAACTAACAAACAGGCGGAGCTCTGTTTCCATGTTGTCTGAAGCCTTTGGCCAAGTTCACTTCCGCGAGCAGGCTTTCTGACTGCTTGAAATACGCTATTTTCAATCTTCAGGGTCGCCTATAAGTGTTTCTCCCCATGCTTTTTCCAGGGGACGGCAAACATGGAGCTCGGTCTCCTTCAGGGCTCTTCCCTTCTACAACTCAAAAAGGGCACAACTGATGTTCCTTGCTTCATGGCTTGAAAGGTCGCCTTTTCGGCCAAGCCTTCGGGCCCATTTTTGAAGCCGTCCTTGGGAGGGGAACCTGGAAGGTTACTTCAAGGGTTGCTTCCCAAGGAGACCAAACTAGCAGCTTAGAAAACGGCCACAGATGAACCCAAACCCATGTTTTTTGTTTGTTTTTTGATTGACGTCAGAGCACAACTGTGAGAGGATTCCAGAAAATTAATATTTCAAAATTTATATTTCTGTGTTTTCTGTTTGGAGTTCCCTACGTTTGATTTGTCAAGTCCTTTTCTCTTTGAGGAATTGCATAGTTCCATCCTTTCTTGATGATTTCTTTCCTCGCAAAGTGTTTCGGGGGAGAAAGCCTTTCTGCCAGTAGTCTCGCCTCTATCGGCTGACCTCGGAACTCTGGATTCCGAGGTCAGCGATGCGCAAGCCTTAGATTGGGGGGTTGGCCGAGTGGAAGAGCCAGGTCAGCCACAATCAAAACCCGGGCAAATGAAGGTTAGCAAGGGGCAGTCCCAGCCGGAAATAGTTGCGGCCGCGTTTCTACTTCTTTGCATGGTTCTGGGTTCACCATTTTTGTACCAGGTTTTGATTGTGGCTCATGTGAGGTTCGGTCAAACCATCAGAAGTCTAGACTTAATTTGGCAGGGGCATCTGGTGCGTTCCTGAGCATTCAGCAAAAACTCGGCGGCTGAATATTTCTCCTTGCTTGGGGCTAGTGGGGATGGTCACCAACCATTTTCAGTGTGGATGTAGACAATACCGATAAGGAATCTAAGAAAAGGCATGACCACGGCCACATTGGGAGTTTTGACCACGGCATATGTGGTTTCGGAAAATATCGGCTCTCACAAAGCGAGCCTCTTCGGTAGGGAGTCCTTTCTATTCAAGCAAAACAGTGGATATACTGCGCATGTTGCTCATGTTGTTGATCATGGCGCTCATGATGTTCATCACATGAAGATGATGATCAACATTATCATGATGATCACGGTGACTGTTGATGGTGGTGGTAGCGGAACCATGGGCTCGGAATCGCTTCCCCAGTCACATGCTCGATGTGGTCCTTGTGTTGCTCCAAAGAGGCTGGAAATTGGTCCTTCCAAGGAAACTTCAACAACCCCCTACCCAAATTTGTTACCCCTGTGAAGGAACCGATCTTTTCAAGAGCAAGCCTGTCCAATTTGGTCGTTTTTGCTGGCTTGTGGTCCAATGACAATCCCGCCATCATTGACTCACTCAAAGTTGGCCAGCTACAGAACAATTAAATAACTCAACTGGGATTGTAAAATAACCCCGCGCCTTTTAATTATGAAGGGACGTGCCCCTGAATGGCGCTTGCTTAAAAAACCCCGCAAAACGATAAGAGTAAAAAAAAACGATAACAGGGCTTTCATGGGGTTGTTTGAAGTGCACCTTTCCATCTTGTCGGATGTTGCTGTGGAGGTGGCTTTGGGCTTATAGGTGCTGTTTTGCCTGCTGGGTGCCATGGCCCCGGCTGTGGATGTAATGTCGGTGTGCCAGCCTCCGGCATTGGACGTGCCGTCCGTGTGCCACGTCAAAGCCTGTGATTTGGCAGCACTGGTGCACAGAATGAGGACTGTCACCAAATTGGCATCAATTTTGAATACTGGTTGCAAGGTACGGGCAAAATGAAGCCCGCCGTATGGAGCGCAAAGTGGGCCGTTTGGACAACGCAGTGTGACTCTCGGCAGGGTGGGAAGCATCAGTGCCACCATTGGCATGCTTGTGTGTGTGTGTATTTGTGTAAGTCGCATATTGGGACTGCATCTCGCCCAAGGACAGCGAGATGTTGACCAACGAGTTTCGGCCGAGGGCTTCGCACCATGTGTGCATCCTGCCACGTGTCAGCAGTTAATGAGGGAGAAGTGTGGCTCAGAGGATTGGATTCGCATGTGACCCAATCTGTTTTGCTTGGCCGAGTTACCAGAACGCCTGGCTGGAATCATCGTGCCTTTCAAAAACAATGCGGAAGCTTCAGGACTGGCCATTGGTCCGCCAGTGGCTCTAAAGACACATTAGGGCCCCCGCTTCAAAACGGACTAGTAGCTCCCCAAAACCAGTAGTTGGCAGCCGCACAGAGTGTTCTTGGGCCTGTCCTCAGGAGGCACCGCCGAAGAAAGCGGCGTGTGCTCACGCGCCGGCTGGTTCAGCTGCAGCGCCGGCGGCACCCGCACCTCTGGCTTCTGCACCGGCGGCTCAGGCACCCATGGAGGCGGCGGCTCAGGCACCCGCACCTCTCACCTCTGCACCGGTGGCTCAGGCACCCGCACTTCTTACTTCTGCACCGGCGGCTCAGGCACCCGCACCTCTCACTTCTGCACCGGCGGCTCAGGCACCCGCACTTCTTACTGCTGCACCGGCGGCTCAGGCACCCGCACCTCTCACCTCTGCACCGGTGGCTCAGGCACCCGCACTTCTTACTTCTGCACCGGCGGCTCAGGCACCCGCACCTCTCACTCTGCACCGGTGGCTCAGGCACCCGCACTTCTTACTTCTGCACCGGCGGCTCAGGCACCCGCACCTCTCACCTCTGCACCGGCGGCTCAGGCACCCGCACTTCTTACTTCTGCACCGGCGGCTCAGGCACCCGCACCTCTCACCTCTGCACCGGTGGCTCAGGCACCCGCACTTCTTACTTCTGCACCGGCGGCTCCGGCTCAGGCTCCTGCACCTGCTTTGCAGTCACCTGCTGCCAAGCTGACAGAGCCTCTTGCTCAGAGCACGCCCGCAAAGCGACCGTTTGCAGCTGTGGAAACTTCGCCCGTGCAGACAAAGGGGTACAAACGCTTCCGTGCAAAGATGCCAGAGCCAGTGGAGTTTCAGGAGGCCCTGCAGGCGGGTCATGTCCGCGCGCGCGCGCGCGTGGAAGACGCCTCTTGCTTGGCGCGGCAAAACACTTAAGAGAGCAGCGTGCTTTGTTTCAGGTTTGTGTCCCTGGTTACAAGCCATTTACAGCCACGCCAAACCATGAGTTCTAATGCCCCCTAAAGTAGCAAACTTCGGGAAGCGGACCCATCGTGCGCCGGCGAAGCACCATTTTTGATCGGGTTGATTGGCAGGCGGCTGCTGCCCTGACGGATGATCAGCGCCAGCTGATCTTGGAGCTGGCTACTGATGTGGAGGGTGGCAACACAGGCCGCGTGGCGTACAGCAAGAATCCAACGGAGCACTGCAAGGTGTGCGGGGGGCAACGACATCAAGTGAAGTGGGGCGAGGTGCGGTCAGCTGAGCGCACCCAGGCTAGCATTCCGCGTGGGAGCTTGTGCTATTGCTGCGTCAGAGCCGCGAAAGATTTTGGCTTGAGATGCCGATCGTACACGGTGTACCGCAAAGCGGGCGCCTTGTCAGTGTGGCGCGCGCGTTCCCTTCTGGAGCGCAGAAAGCTCAGCAATTACAGCGGGGACACCTGCAATTGCGGCACTTGCTTGGGTTGATTGTGCATAGCAGGTTCTGGGGCAGTTTTTGTAACTGCAGCAAGCGCCGGGGGACACGGGCAAAAGAACGCAGCGTTGACTGGCCCTTTTCCCGCCTCTGGACAACGAAGCCCAAAAACACACCTTAGTAATAAACCAGGTGTTCGGAGGGCACTAGCCGACTGGCAGCTCAGAGGATGTCATTAGTAGGCACCAAGAGATTTTCCAACAAATCGTGGCTCGGCGCAAGTGGACTATTTTCCTTTAAAAGGGACTCTCTGGTGGTCCATGTTAGTGGACAGGGTAATTGTGTTCTGTGGCTGTTTTAAATGGACACCTCAAGGAAAACCACTTATTTTGAATTGCTCATATGGCTGGGGTCTGTTCGCATTCACTTGTGGCAGCTTAATTTGCGTCGTGGGGCCAGGCCGGCCGAGTTGGTGGGGGGACTCCGGGCTTTTGGCAGAGCGCTTGCAATTGGGTATGTCTCAAAACAGGGCATGTCTCCAATTTCTTGTTTTCCTTTTAGCTTCCCTGAAAAAAACGAACCTGAGAAAGGGTACCCTGATCGGAGCCCATGTACTTTGACTGTACTTTGGCGCAAGCGTTTGGACACCATTTCGTTCGTATAAATATAAAATCACATATATATATATATATATATATTTATGTGTGTGTGTTGCATACATATGTATATGAGGATTGCCCCAAAACCCCCATGCACCGGGATTTCTATGTTTTTGGCTAAAGGAGGCGGAAAACCCGAGCCGGCAGGGGGATTCGAGCCTGGGACCTCTGTTTTGCAACGCCGGCTCCCCGAAGACTATTTCTAGTGGAACTCGGGCAAGTTGTAGGCGCGCAGTTTGTCCACGCATGTTCTGCGGTCAGACTCGAGGCCTAGCGTGCCAAAAGTGTGACTTTGGAGCACAGCAGCCATCCCGAAACGGGGTTCCAAAACGATACCGGAACGATAACGAAAACGATAACGTTTGGTCACAAAATGTGACTTGCCACAGCATGGCCCACATCGCCAACATGCCTATGCTCTGGCTACAGGTTTTACACGGAGGCGTGGAAGCGTGTCAACGGACAGAAGTGCAGCTAGCTAGTGCTACTGAAGGTAAGCTTTCTGGTCTGCCGTTGCTCTTGTTGGGCGCGCCCCCCCCAGAGCTATGGATGCGGCTGCGGTTTCGCGGCTCCAAAAGACATTGCTGCAGCACCCTCAAGTGGGCCCCAGATTGAAGGCGCTGGCGCAGCGCGCGGTCCCTGGCAAGGCCAAATTTGCGGACTTGACCAAGGAGCAGCAGAGGTGGATCTTCAACGCGCTGAAGAACAAGTCGCTGAAGGAGCACTACCATTTGGAGGAGGGTTCTGGAAACATTGTGGTCAAAAGCGCTCTCGGTCTACTGGCTGTGCTGGGCGACGAGCAGGCTGCCGCAAGCTCAGTGGTTGACCAGGCTGTTGTTGCTGCGGAAGCACCGGCGCCAAAGGCGAGCCCAGCTCCAGAGGAGAGCCGGGCGTCGGCGCCCCGGAAGCGCAAAATGACAGCAAGCACTTCCAGAAAAAAGAGAGCTCAGCCAGCGCTTGGCAAGAGATGCTCCGCGGCTGCAGACCTTGCCCGGCGGGTGCTACACCACGGTCGGCAGCAGCGAGGCTTGGTGTCAAAGTTGCTGAAGAAGCTTGTGGCGCGGGTCGACACCACCTTCCCCGGCATGAAGCAAGAACTCCTACGCGACGAGCCCGTTGTTGATAATGTCATCGTGCGGACGCTTGGCAAGCTCAGAGAAGAGGCCACGCAGCGAGGTTTCCAAAGCATCGCCATTGCGGACTTGGACTTCGTTATGTCAAATGAGAGAACCTGGCCAAGGAGTTTCTTGCAGAAGCACGGCTATTGCATTGGCAGACGGGCTTGGAGGACGCTGCAAGGCGAACGTTTCCAAGGTGGCGCCACGGCGGAAAGCCGGCGGCTATGGGAACGATCCCGGCAAGGCGGAGCACCTAGCAAGGTGTCTGCAGCGACACTGGCTGTCACGCGTGCAGTGCTTGAGAGGAATTCCAAACCTGGCAGCAAGGTGGCGAGCGTCCACCAGAATGCAGATGGCAGCTTCGGCCGAGCTCGCCCAAGAGGCGACCAAGCTGACGAACGAGTGGTGCCTGGCCAGTCGCTGTTGGCAACTCCAGCCCGCATGTGGTCTGAGAATGAGGAATTGCAAAGCCTGTTCAGCCGCACCAGTTTCTACAAGGTGTTGAAGAAGCACTTTGCAGATTTTCGCGAAGGCCATCGCGACACAGATGTGTGCAGCCATTGCCAGTGCTATTGGCGGCACTTGGTCCCACGGTTTCACCAAGACTGGGCAACAGTTCAGAATGACCTCAAGAGTGTGTACCCGAACTATTTTGACCATTTCAATCCCTCGAACTTTGCCGACTGCGGAGAGGAGGCAGACGCCGCGTGCAAGTACATCAATTCTCACTGCGCCAGGTACCGCGAGGAGCGAGAGCGCAGCGGATGCGACCGATTACAGCTGCACACATTTACAGAAGCGCCGGCGCTGGTGCTGCTCCGAGGACATCGGTCTTTGCTGCGCAGCTATTTGTGGCACATGTTGTCAGCAAGGCGCCAGCAGGAGTGCTTGAAAAAGTTGATGACTCCTGAAGGTTTGCCGCTCGAGGACTCGCTCTTGGTGTTTGATTGGCGTGAAAAGATACGCTTGCCAGTGGGGCCACAAGAGACTGGAGACATGTGGCACGCCCAGCAGAAGTATGCAATCAGCTGCTTCGGGTGCTGTGTTTTTCAGTGGGAACAGCTGCCGGGAGACGAGGCCAAGATGAGGCAAACCTATTTGATGCTGATCTCAGAAATCCGTGAGCAAACTGCAGAGGCTTCCAACCTTATGCTGGAGCAGGTGCTCGCAATGGCAAATGTGTCCCGAGCTGGTTGCCTTCATTTCTTCAGTGACTGTGGCCCTCATTTTCGGAGCGCGGAGTCATTGCACCACCGAGTGATGCAAGTGTGCTTCCAGCGGAAGCAGACCGTGCGAGTCAATTTCCTTGGCGAACAGCACGGCAAGTCCTTGCTGGACGGCGCTTTTGGGACTACAGGCATGCACGGGTGGCTTGGACGCTACGCGTTGAAGAAGCCAATTCATAGCTTGGACCATTTGCTCACTGCCTTCAAAGCAGGTGCGGATGAGGCAATGGCGTTGGACCCCGAAGGCCCACGGTGGCTTTGCGAGAAGGTTGATTTCGGCACTCATCGCGCTTCTGAAGTTCGCTTGTTTGTCTCTACTGGCTTCAAGATTACACGAACATATTGCATGATGGCTTTGAAGCCTGCAAGCAGAGCGAAAAAACCAGTGGTGCACAACTTGGTCTTTCCGGACATCGCAATACCTGCTGAAGGAGCCATGTCGTATCAGATCCAGATGCACACCAGAGAAGAGCCCTTGGAGTGGAAGCGCTCGTACCTGGAAGGAGAGAAGACCTGGGAACTTGAGCCGCCGAACCCTGGAGACACCACCCAGCTGTGCCGCAAGCATGAAAGCCAGAAGGCGCGGCCGCCCCCCGATGGTCTACGGCCAGTCAAAACTTTTCACGAACGAGTACAGAGCAAGGCGCGCCGGGCAGCCCGCGACAAGGTTCGCCTGCAACGGCAGCTCCTTGCGTTGCGCGGGGAAGCCTCCCCTCAAGATGAGGGTGGTACTTCCAGCTCTGACAGTGATAGCTCTAGCGCAGAGTCTGACTAAACCAGTTAGCTTGCTGCTCGCGCTTGCTTGCTTGAGCTTCTTGGCAGAGCTACAGTCACTGCACGCTGTGCTAGCCTTCCTTTGATTTGAGCATGCACTTTGCAAACCCCTGCAAAACGATAAGAGTAAAAAAAAACGATAACACGTTTGGGGGACAGCTAAATTGTCACGGGGTTTTTTTACAACCCCAACTGGCCATGCAACTTGTGTGCCAAACGCATGTCGCACACAGGAAATGGTTCCTTGCAAGTTGTGCATAGTACCATTTTGCCATCAAGCCCGACAGGTTCCTTGATAAATTTGGTCCGTCTTGTTGGAAGTGTGTGCTCTGCCGGAAACAAAGCTGCCATTTCCGGGAGCCCAGTCGAACTGTGCCTTTTTGACAAGTGCGTTTGTTGTTATGGTTCTCTTTGTGTCATTGAAAACCCGCCTGAGCACTTTGTCGGTTGCATCGAGGGCATTTGGCATGTAAAGAAGGCACGCCCTCGACAACGAGAGGTTCCAAGTTTTGACACCATAAGCAAACCTAGTAATTTGAGACTCGGGGATGTGTTTTCGAGGGTGCCCTTTTGGGATGTTTAAAGGGAAAGCCAAATTAGACGACCCCTAAAGTGCCCTGCTTCCCGCCACACACACACACGTGCCCAAACTTGGTCTGTCTTTTCAAGGTACCATTTTCGGGACTTCTTCAACCGAAAACCAAAAGGAACATGACTGTTGTGTGGGTCGCATTTTCAAGACACCCATATTTGATTGAGTGTCCAGCAATTCATTCTGGGACCACGCGGTGAGTACAACCCCGGACCTTTGGACGCGGTCTTGCTGCTTGCTATGTTTGGCCACTACACACGCTTGATGTACCCCATAGTTCAGGTACCCGCAGGCAAAAGGCAACAGTATTTATCAGTGTATATATATAATAAAGCATGATATGATATGACATGATATAGCATACTATAATATTGCAAAATATATTACAGCATAGATTAATACAATACAATATGTTTTAAGATACTATAGTTTTATGTGTATATATATATATACACATTCATGCATTATGTACATAATTATATATATATACACGCATATATATATATATAACACCCGAACAGGTTCAGAGAGAAACACGAAACTTTCCAAGGCAATCACGGAACCTCAATGGGCTCTGAAAGATGGTTGCATTTTTGGAGGGTGATGGTTTGCCTCAAGCTTTGTGCCATGAAAGTCCAAGGCCGTCTCTCAAGGAGAAGAAGGGCAACGCAGAAGACATCAACC